GTAATGACCAAAGAGCTCTTTAGGGTAACACATTCTGGATTTTCTGGGTTTTATTTTCTTTTTTGCAGTATATTTCACCAACGTAAGAAAATGCACATAAGTCTTCCCAAGACCACTTCAATTTCAAAGCCAAGCGTTAAGAAGTTGGCAAGGCCACCCATGTAGCTGTAACACCACACAGCTTGTCAGAGTTCAATGTCCTGACCTATGCTAAGGTTGGGATTTGGTTTCCTAAACACAAGTTTTAATGGAATGCAAGATGACCCAAGGCATCTTTCCTGGTCTGTAGCTCCTGCCCTGCAAAAAGTAGACTAAGTAGAGTCACTTTTCATCTCCACCAACTGGGTGAAAAGATCAGAGGTCCTCCACTGCCAAATAGGGGCTATTTACCTACTATGAGTAGAGCAACAGAGGTCTACCCAGGGTTTCCTGTGGCTTTTGAATTAAGACAGTGGAAATAATTTTTTAAAAGTGCTGTTTATTCCAAAGCTATCTGGCAAATCAAAGGCATGCATCAAAGTGGACAAAGGGACTGTCTGCGCTTCAAAAAAAAATGTACACAGAAAACGCAGGCTGAAGCACTGTTCTGCTACTGGGGCCAGTTAACTGCTCTGCAGGGTCCCAGAAATTACTGCAGATGTTGTACGGGGAAGGAGCAGCCATGCTCAGTTTCTGTGTAAATGTATAGATTCTAGTTGTTAAACCTGGGGCTATGAGATCAGGCTCGCTCAGGACACGTTTCCCTTTTACCCCTCACGAACTTGGCATGGTTGGCATTCCATCTGTTGGGAGGAGAGCGGCAGTCGGCCCTGAGTGCCAGGCTGAGGGCTGGTGGGTGCCGAGTGGGTCAGTACTACAAAAAGTGGTGATGATAAAAGTGGTCACGGAAAGAAAACTTTAAAAGCAATGAGGTACAGCACAAAAAAATGAGGACACCAAAGTAGATAAAAGTAGATGTAGAAACAAAATTTTATAAGCCAAGGGATTAAGAGGGGTTTAAAAAATAGGGACAGTGAACTAGAATTAAGATGTAGAAATAAAATTTTTCAAAAGGTGGCGCTAAAGAAAGATGAGAAATAACTCAAAACTGAAGACGTCAAATGGGATAAAAGTAGGCATAGAACATTTTAAAAAGTGATAAGGACCAGAAATAAAGAAAACAATAAAGAATAGGGACAACAACCTAAATAGAGATGTAAAAACTAAATATTTAAACCAATGGGGTACATGACAGGCAGGAAAAAAAAATAGGGGTAGGGGGCTGGACAAATGTAGGCATAGAAGGAAAATTAAAAAGTGATGAGAGGGAAAACTTAAAGTGATGAGGTACAGGAAAGAACTAAAAATAGAGACAGCAAACTAGATAAAAGTAGACATAGAAACGACATTTTAAAAGCCAAGGGATTAAGAGAGGAAAGAATTAAACAATACCAGTAGCAAATAAAAATGCAGACATGGAAAGAAAACTTTAAATTTTTTTTGGGAAAGACAACTAATGAAGAAATTAAAATGGTGAAGAGGATAAAGACAGAAAGAAAAAAGATTAAGGAAATAAGGAAAAAAATTAAAAATAGCAATGGTGAACTAAAATGGAGAATTAGAAAAAATCTAAAAAGTGACAGCATGAAATAAAGATAAGAAATAGTTTTTAAAGGACAGGGAATGGAAAAAAGTAGGTGTTGAACGAGTATTTTAACAGCAACGGACAATAGAGAAATAGAGAGGAAAATTAAAAATAGGGATAGCAAACTAAAACAGATGTAGAAAGAAAATTTAAATAGTGAGGGCTC